GAAAAAAAAAAAAAAAAAAAAAAAAAAAAAAAAAAAAAAAAACACATCACAGTAAAACCAATACCTTCTCAGCTTCGCATCGAAGCTAAAATTATTATTTTGATTTGTTAATATTTGAAAAAATTATGGCAGTTCTAAGAAAAAAAGTGAAAAAAAATGAAAAATTTACCGTTTTTTTGGTAATTGGTCCAGTGAGAGTTGAGAAAAAGTGGCAACAAACATAAAAAAAAAAAAACACGGCATAGTAAAATTAATGCCTTCTTAGCTTTGCATCGAAGCTAAACTGTGTAATTAATTGTTTTGTTACTGGTAATTGTATTTTTTTTATTTCTTGTATATTTAATTATATGTTGTTATAATTAAGTTTCTAATTATAAAGGAAAAAATGTCATATATTAGTAATTTATTACATTGTGACATTTGAATAATCGGAATTTGAACAATTTGGGACGTTTGAATGTAACTTAATTTTTTTTAGCAATAAATGCTGTGTAAACTTTTATGTTATTTTTATTTAATATATTTACCATATATATATTACTTTTCAGAAGATGAAGATAATATTGTATACTAAACTGGGTCTTTTTTAATACAAATATAAAAATGAAACTTCTTATTTGGAAATTGAAATTTTTCTTTATAAAAAAATATTGTTATTTTTAACGAATGATTTTAAATATACGTGGAATGAAAAAAAAAAATGTATCTATAAATTATCTATTTTTGTATTAAATCAATTTTTTAAAACATAACAGATCAAAATAACTTAAAATATTATCTTTTTAATTGGGAAGTTTATTTTAAATGAATTGGACACACTGTTAACTAAAACTAAAATCACATAAACGATTTGTGATGTGGTTCATTTTGCATTATATACTACGACGTTACTTAACTGGCTAGTTAATATTGCGGTTAGAAAAGAATTTCTAATTTTTTTAATTAACCTTAATTGTATGTCATACTTATTTTAAAATAACAACTGTGTTTTTCAATAATTACGTATTAATTCACTTAATAATAATGAACTATAACATCTTTATACTAATCTTAGTAGTCGACGCAACGAAGGGACTGGAAAACAATAATAAAAAACATGCAATTCAATTTTTAAATTTATTTTTACAAAGAAGTAGGTGGGATGTTTCAATGAAAATGGTATATGATTATGAAAACAAAAATTATCTTTCAGTAGATGAAATATTAATTAATAAAGAAAAAAATGTTCAAGGTTACATCGTCAATGAAGAAAATGTTGACCAAAAACTAAGAGAATCAATATTGCTTATTAATAATGAGTACACCATAAATTTAGCATGGATCGTGGATCACTTAAAATGCTTTGCTATTCTTTGTGTTAAGATTAAAGATTGGGATAATATAGTGTTAGATCCATCTCGTTACATTAAGTGTGTATATTTATTAATACCAAGTATTATGATATGCGAGGAACTTATAAAAAGTTTTATCAGTGCAATAAATTTCCTAAAGAATTTATTAAATATCGAAACCAACCCAATTATTTTAGATAAATTAATAAAATTTGTTGGATTGGTAAGTAAAGAAATAAATGAAAATGAATATTTATATGTGGACAAAATAAATGATAATTTCAAAGCCGAGTACGTAGAGAATAATAGTAGTTTGGACAATATTGTCCAAAACCTAAATATTAAAAAATGCGATATTCGTTTAAATAATCATTATAGAGATTATGAAATATATAAAAGAGTTAATAAAAAACCGTCATCGTATACTTATATCGATTTCTTAAATTATAACTTAAATGAAGGTATTATGAATATGAAGAAAAAATTTAATACTATTTTTGCTATTTAGACAAAAATAAAAATGAAACTTCTCATGTTAATAATTTGGAAATTGAAAAAGTTCTATAATAAAAATTTTTTTTTTAACTAATGATTTGAAATATATGTGGAGTATAAAAAAAAATAAAATATATCTATAAATTATTTAATATTGTGTTAAGTTAACTTTTTATAGCTTTTTAAACATAACACATCGAATTAATATACATTAATTATAATTAATTTAATATGTTAAATGTTTCAAAAACAACGTGTAATATTTTAATTATTTCTTATCTCCTTTTATGATTTATTAAGTAATATAAAATTAATAGTCATTAAAATTGCTTACGAGAACGATTTTATTTTAATTAAAACTATTTCATCGTAAAAAAATCTTTAACTGATTTTTATTTAAATATATTGTAAATATTCAATAAATTTATTGAATGGTGGACAATACTTATCCATCTGTTCTGCATATAGGACCATGGTATTTATAATATTCTTACCTCTCATTTTAACATCAATTCATTGTAACAGTTAACAATGACCTTAAAGTCTCAGGTTTAGGAATTTAGATCTAAATTTTTTATAAATCCATCCATTCTAATAAAAACAATTCTTTGTTTAACACTCTAGCATACTCCGCTTCCTATAGTTGTAATAATTTAAATACTACGATGCTCCGTTGAATGAACAGTTTTTAATTCTAAGGCCACTAACTTTGATATAAACTGTAATTTAAATTGTATGTATATATGGAAAAACTATTTGTAAATCACTATTATTTAAATAGTATTTATAGGTGTTAATGTTCAACTTGATTCTTGATCTTTTTGTAACTACTAGTTACCTAGTTAGAAAAACACATAATAGATCCTTACTATTATATAAATGCATTAGTCAACTAAAATCATTTTTTTTTCACATCAAAAATATACTTTTATAAATACATTTTTCAAGTTTTTTGAGTCAAACAATATTTTACTTCACAAAAGTTAAAAATTGTCTATAGTTTTCAAGAATAATGAATCATTTGCAGAAAAATAAGGATTTAATAAATTTAAATCGTTCACTTGAAATTTTATTTCTATTAAGAAATCAATAATAATAATAATTCACATGTAACTGATTTATAAGGCATTAATTGTTTAGGGATACTACGAATCCGGATCAAAATCACGATATTGGAAATCATTCTTATTCAACCGACCAGAAGCATCAAGTCTTCTACTTTATGGATTCTGACTTATATACTAATACGACTAAGTGAACGAAAAAATAGTTTTAGTATGCAAATAATATGAGTTTTTGTTAGTTACAATTTTAATTAGTAATTATAACTACTAATATAAATATCTAGTGTTTGATATAATTAACTCAAAAACTAGGTTAAATAGAAAAGATTTGAAGCCATATTGAAATTGGCGTCAAAATTCCTTATATAATTTATATAAAAATAGCAAATAAGAAATTGGCTGATGTACTGTATTATTAACAAACATTCGTAATAGCAGCATTTATTTATTAATATAGATTCGACAATAATCGACAAATATAAGGGTAAATAATTGATCCACTAAAAATATTTAACACCAACAATTTTTTAGTTATTATTTGAAATATATTCTTTATATAACCAGAAAAGTTTCCTTACATGTCTACATGTTGAGGATAGTTAAATATTGAAAATAAAATATTAATTTGTGTTTTAAAAGAAAGATAAACTTGTCCAATATTTTTTTAAACAAAATCTAACATAGTTTGGTATGAAGTTAAATTTTTGGCAAAACTAATTTTGGCCTGGATTATTAACGCATATTTTTATACCGACTGTAGGTAGAGTAATAACACACATGATCTTAAAATTTAGTTATAGCTAAAAAAATGCTACATTAATCTTTTAAAAATAGAAGTATAATACACAGATAGGTTAATGAGATATTAATGTATCTTTTTTCTTCTTTTGTCATCACTAATAATAATCATTATCATCAAATAATATTTTTATTTCATAAAATAATAAATTATGCAACAGTAAATGTCAGTGTTTATTTTAAATAACATATTTTAAATCAAAGTATCTGTTTGAGTGTTTAAAAGGAGAACACTACTTAAGTGTTATGAGTAGATATATATATATAATAAAGAAAATTGTGAGAGATGTTTAGAGTTATTCGTTAATATTTCTATGTAAACATATTATACAAAACATAAAATATTCTTAAACTAATGTTAATACAAGTTAACTAAAATGGGAATATACATCAACAGATTAATTCATAATAATTTACAATAATACAATATAGGTTAGCTGTTTATCCACAGATGGCAGCGACCTGGTTCGCAACAAGATTGTGTGTCTTGCAAATGGCAGAAGCAGAACGACAGGAAACGAAGGTTAGTCTAGTCTAAAAAGTAGTGTATTTTGAGTATCGCTTCATATTATGTAAAGAACCCATGTGTGATACTATGAGTGTATATACACCTATTTGCAATAGTTCAAAAGAACACAAAAACGAAAAAAAAATGATACTATACCGTCACTTTGTTATCAACGATATTCGAGCGAGCGTTTAATTTCGTATGAATAATGACTCGTTTAACAAGTCGCGTGAAACTCGTCCACTTGCTTTACAATGGTCAGACACATATCGATGGGACGGGCAAAACAAAGACACTAAATAGCCGTGTACTCAACTGTATCATATCATAATGATACAAAATTTAACAAAGTCAGTGAAAAGGTTTGGAAAGTAACATCAACAACAGTAAATAATTGTAAATTTAATCATGTAAACCACGAATCTATAAATAAAATGATTTATTAAATTTTATCGGAGTAAATAAAATGTCATAAGTCGTAAATTACTTGTTAATAAAAAATTGTTTATTTTTAATTAAGGAAATTATAATTATAAAATTTTATTTGGGTAGTAAAGATGATACTGAAATTTAGACAGTATATTTATTAAAATAAAACCTAATAAATATTACTCTATTAATATGGGAAATTTTTCATAGATAAATGGAACACACTGTTTTTGTACGAGGCAGCTCGAGCGTAGAACGGGCAGTTATGCATCGTACTAGAATGCCGATTTACCTTAAGCCTATCACATAAAACATAATAACGTTTCTGTTCTTATATTTTAAAATCACCTTACACAAGACATCAAATTAACAGTTCTGTTTGGAAAAAAATTGAATTATTTTAGTAACGGTTCTTCGAGTCAAGTTAAATTTTGTTACTATTTTTTTTTGCTCTCTCATCAACTCTATAGTTAGCGTTTTAACCATGACATAAAGNATAGTTAGCGTTTTTACCATGACATAAAGTAAAAAATGTCATTTTGTATTAAAATCAATTTCGTCTACATTAATATTAAAACACAGATTAATAAACGTTTTTTATTTTTGTATTGAATCGAAGCACCTTCACTAAAATAATTAATTCTTTTACAAAAGGAGCTGTTAATCATCAAAATTTGTAATTAATTTGAATGAAAAATATTCCTTTCTTATTTATCGAACCAAAATCCGCAATAAATGTAGTGTAAAAATGCCGCAAAATGAATAAAAATTACAGTCAAATGATATTCGTGTAATAAGATATATTGTGTATTGCGAAATGAGAACGTTTTTTTTAGTACATCGTGAGTATTTAAAATTTTTATCGGAAACACACGCCAAAGTTTTTCGATTTAAAACCTGAAATTTTTACCAAACCTGTCTAGAGATAATCCAAAAAAATCTTGAAATTTTCATTGAAATTTTTTGATTTTTGACGAGGGTTTTTTTTGTCCCAGCACTATAAAAGGAGAATGAAAGTCTTAAAATTATTATACGTAATGTTTATTACATGTAACGAAAAACATTTTATACGTGTTTATTGCTAATCCTGATAAAAATGTTGATACAGTTATTAATTCAAATTTATGGATATATTTAAATTTTTTAATTTTACATGTGTTAAAAATCGTTTATTTGAGCTAAGTCGCTAACAATTTAACAATTAAACCATAATATTTTTTTTTTTTTCTTTTGAATTTCGCATCCATGAACATAAGAAGTTTCATTTTTTACTTCATCATAAAAAAAGCCCAGATTAAAGTACAATTTTTTTTCCGTATCTTCGATACCTNTTTTTCTTTTGAATTTCGCATCCATGAACATAAGAAGTTTCATTTTTTACTTCATCATAAAAAAAGCCCAGATTAGAGTACAATTTTTTTTCCGTATCTTCGATACCATTTCTTAAGTAAACTTCCATAAATTCATACATTTGAAACGTTTTAGTTAAATTATTTTTCTTTATATACCTATTAAAATCGTCATTATCACGATTTGTATCACCATATCTTTGACCAATGCAATAATTTTGAAATATTTCGATAAAATTACAATTACTCGTATCGTACTCGTCATGGAAGTTATACTGCATTCGAATCACATATGCATCGTCATTTTCATTTATTTCTCTGCTTATCAATCTAACAAATTTTATTAATTCATCTAAAGCAAATGGATTGGTTTTAATATTTAACAAATTCATTAGAAAATGTATTGCACTAATAAAACGTGAAATGAGATTTGTGCAAATCTCAATACTTGGTAATAATAAACTAATACAATACGGGTAATCTACTGAAGTCTTAATATAATTTTTCGAAAAACAAGCACTAATAATACGTTGTACGTGATAAATGATTCAATCTAAACTTCTTATGTACTCATGATTAATAAGTACCATTGTTTCTCTTAACTTTTGATTAACATTATTTTTATCGACGATCGGATCTTTACTATAATTATATTTATGTATTAGTAGTTCATTCGTCGTAATCCAACACTTGCTTATATGGTCATGCATACCTGAATCTGATAAAACNTTAAATGGTCACGCATACCTGAATCTGATAAAAATTCCCACCTGGTTTTTTGTAAAAATGAATTTAAAAAGTTAATTGCATACCCTTTATCATACTTTTTCTGTTGACTCGATACGTTCACTGCCAAGATAAATACAAAGATGTTATAATTCATTCTGATTAATTGATTTTATACGTAATGTATGAGAAATACACTTATTATAATAAAATACCTATGTCAAGTAATAAAGTTTAAATTAAAAAATTAGTTATTTTTTTCTCATTACAGTATTAAGTGGTTGACTAATTGATGGCGTACTATGTAATGTAAAATAAAACACGTCACAAATTCTTGTAGCATATTCAGTTGTTATTAACAGTGTGAACAATTCATTTATAATGAATTTACCTTGATAATACAATAATATTTTTTCATTTACATTACACGTATACAATTTTCTATATGTCAGTCTTCTTACTAGCTTAATAATTAATTTTTTCAATAAATTTATCGGTGAATTAATTTATTAATTAAAAAAATTCATCATTTTAAAAATTAAAATTAAAAAATAATTCTTCAATTTTATTTTTGTTTGGATGAAAAAATATCTTTTCTGATTCATCGTTCCGAAATCCATAATAATTATATGTTTTTAACGTACTTTAAATAAATAAATATAAATATAAATAAATAATACATTGAAATGATAGTTTTTAATGTTATAAGGGTCATTCATATCTAATTCGCCTTATATACGAAATATTATATATTACGAAGTTAAGAATAGACTTTTATTTTAATTATTATAATCTTATTAAGTTCTAGTCCATAACCAGAGTTGAGTATAGACACACAAAATCAAAACTAGCTAAAATAAATATGATTTTAATTTTAGTAGGTTTAGGTTCAGATAAAAATAATTTAATTAATTTTCATCAGGATGAAGATTTTTTTTATCAAACTAATAAGATAGATATTTAACAAGACAATCCTTAAAATTTCAATAAATTCAAATTAATTAATAAATCACGATAGNCTAATAAGATAGATATTTAACAAGACAATCCTTAAAATTTCAATAAATTCAAATTAATTAATAAATCACGATAGAAGGTGATTTTTTACAGAAATATTATAGTTTTTGTTCAATTTCAGCATGCATTTGCACATAGAAGATAAGGTGTCAGAACAAAATATTTTTTCACTTAAAGTATAAAATGTAAGTGATAACATATAACATATGTTTAAACGACGCAGTATATCTGGAACATTTTCAAAAGTAAAGTTGGAAAAATTGACTTTTGTAAAAAGTTTCTATTTTCAATCTCCCTTGTGGGCATGTATAAATTGAATAGTCAAATTAAAAGAAAAATTATCATGACTTATGTTAGTTTATGAAAAAGTTATAGTAGTTTTAAGAAAAAAATTTCTAAAAAAAAACTATTGCCGCACATTAGGTGTTTTCACAATGAATACTCTGCAATTGTTATAAAAAATACAAGAATACCTCAAATATTCGCAACAATTACTTGTTTTTTTGTATTTTTTTACTGAATTGTTTTATTTTAAAGTAATTAAAGTAAAGATATAAAATATTCTTTAATCTCAATACACCACATTATCTTTGTTAAAAATATTTAAGACAAATTAATTTTTTGGTATGTATTTCATAAAAATAAACAATTAATAAAAAAAAAAAAAATAATATTTATTTTAGAAAAGTATCATATTATATTTTTAAAGTATCATATTATATTTTTAAAGTATCATATTATATTGCTATAAAATTTAACAAATTTCGTGAAAAAATTAGAAAAATAATATCAAGATCAACTATAAATAAATATATACATTACAGTAAATTCATTCAAAATCACGACGAATTTATGAATAAAATAATTTATACAGGGTGATTTTTTTATCATAACCCACTCAATTACTTACAGAATAATAATAATTTAAACATTTTTTTTTTTCATTATTTTTAGTTACACATTATTCTTGAATTTTAAACATATCATTTGGCTATAATATTTGGTAAAAATCGACTCGTTGCAGGCTTCATTTAGCAATCAAAATTATAATTTTGTAGATAGAATGAAATTTAAAGCTTCCATTGCGTTAATAAACAAGCCACTCTTTTTCCTTTTGTTATTTATTATAAATAGATTATAAAATTAATTTTCCATGTATATGTATAATTAGTGATCACACGGTACATAATATTTCTGTTAATATATTTTAAATTCGCCTTATACAATTTAAATATCATTAATTAAAGAATTTCTATAATTTTATCTAAAAAATAGTTCTATTAACAAGCAATTTCCAATTTTCGATATTATATACTCCTATAAAATTACTGGTCTATAAATTTATACAGGATGATTTTTTTATCATAACCCACTCAATTACTTACAGAATAATAATAATTTAAACATTTTTTTTTTTTATTATCTTTAGTTACATATTATTCTTGAATTTTTAACTATGTAATACTTTTTAAGTTCATCCCTTATGCCTTGGAAGGGGGTCAACTTTGTTTTTTTAAATGGTAACACATATTTTTAATTTAATAAAATGTTTGAGTTTTTAATT